TACTTTTGTTGGTTGACCCTTGCAGAGAACTTTTAATCTCAAGTCCTAAAAAATAAGTGATTGATCCAAGATCTTTCATTTTAAAGGAGTTGCTAAGAAGAAGTTTCAGATTAGCAATGCCATCCACATCATCCCCTGTAATCAAGATATGATCAGCTGATCAACATACACCAAAAGGAGAATTTATCCTTGGTCCCTTTTGAGAGTAAAGAGAGAGAATAATAAGAGGTACTCTGTTGAAAGATTATTTCCAAAACCACTGTATGAAAGCATTCAAACCAGGTCTGAGGTGCTTGTTTCAGACCATAAAGAGATTTTTTTTTAGTTTAGAAAACGTATAATCCAAATGTTTAGCATGAGTGTGACCCAGGTGTCTATGTCATAGATGCTATGTAGATATAAGTAGTAGATAGCAAACAAGAAGCCGAAGAAGAAAATTTCTCAAACTTGATGGGCCAAACCCTTTTAGATTTGAAAATATGTGGATTGACCACCCTCTTTTTGTAGCCTTTGTGGAGGAGAAATGGAGGAGTTATCATTTTGAAGGAAGGATTGGTTTCATTTTGATGAGGAAGCTGATGGCTCTAAGTCTAAGGGAGGATTTAAAAGATTGTAACAGGGAAGTCTTCGGGAACATTTCATTCAAAAAAGCTGAATTTCTCAGAAAAAATTGCAGATTTGGAGAGACTAGAGGAAAGGGATGTTTTGTATAAGGCAAAAGGGAGAATGAGAGTGTGAGAGGGGAATTATTGGAAGTGATTCATATGGAAGAAATTATGTGGGGGCATAAATCAAAAGCAATTTGGCTAAAAGGGAGAGATAAGAATATTGCCTTCTTTCATGCTCAAACAAGGGATAGGGGGAGGAATAATTTCATCTCTAGATTGGAGGAGGAAAACAAAATCATTGATGACCCAAAAGAAGTGATGGAGGAAATTAGAAATTTCTATATCAATTTGTACAACTGTACAAGGCTACGTCAAGTAGAAAGGTTTTCCTGGGTGATGTAGACCTGGGAAGGATTGGGGAGGGTTTAAGGGATTGGTTGGAAAGGGAGTTTTAAGAGGGAAGTTTGGGAAGCAGTAAATTTTATGAAGGGTGACAAGGCTCCAAGGCCAGATGGTTTCAATATTTCTTTCTACAAGAGCTGTTGGCATGTGCTAAGTGGGATGTTTTGAGGATGATGAATGGATTTTGGCAAGAAAAGATCATTGAGAGGAGTGCAGCAACGTTTTATATCTCTAATTCCGAAAGTGGAAGGGACATTTGGAGTAAGGGACTTTAGACCAATTAGTTTGATCTCAAGTCCTTACAAAGTCATTGCTAAGGTGCTACCTAGAAAATTAAGATATGTCTTGCATGAAGTCGTAGGACCAACCCAAATGGATTTTGTGGAAGGCAGGCAAATTCTTGATGGGGTGATGATTGCAAGTGAATGTGTTGACTCAAGATTCAAAAGTGGACAACAAGGTTTAGTTTGCAAACTTGACATTGAGAAGACTTATGATCATGTGGATTGGGGTTTTCTGGAAGATATCTTGGCAAGGATGGATTTTAGGGAAAGGTGGAGAAGCTGGATGTTTGCATGTATTTTTTCGGTTTCTTTTTCAGTTCTTGTCAATGGTATATCCACACTTTTTCCAAGCCCAAAGGGGCGAGACAGGGAGATCCGTTGTCACCTTTGTTTGTTTTGGTGGCAGAAGTTTGAAGCTGCTTATTATGTAAAGGAGCAGAGGTTGGGATGTTTGGAGGGTTTAAAGTAGGCAGAAATGTAAAGGAGTAGGCGTCGGAATAGGTGATTTTGATTTTGATTCCTATTCTGATTCCGATCCTGACCATGAACCAAACAGACCCTCAGTTTTCATTTTGGAGAGAGTTAATAGAGTTTACCTCTCTTCATGGTGTTCCTTTGTAACTATTTTTTGTCTCAATGAAAGTTTCTGTTATTGATAAACTTTCTTGTGGAGTAAGGGTCGATATAAGCTTTTCTTCACCTGGATAATCGCAACAAGGCAAACATATTTGTTATTTTCTGGATTTAACCAACAGTTAATTGCCTTAGAAGGTTATTATTCCAAGAATGTTGGCCATGATCAATAAGCATCTAAACTCTATCACAAGGCAACATCCAACTGGATGGTTTTTAAACCAGTCCACCAAAAGCCCATGAATCTGTAAATACATATCTACTTTCGAGCTGTTTGATATGAGCCACTTACAGCCTTTGATCAGGTCCTGCCTACACGTCAACGAGCTTGCCCAAAGAGGGGAGACACCAGCCTTCACTTTCACCTTCCAAAAGGTGTTGGTGCAAAGATATTTTTTTTTTCAACAGATTCACCCACATCACATCTTCCTCTTTTAGAAATTTACATGCTGCCTTCATGAGTAGCGCTTTATTCACTGGTAGAGGTTGGAAAATACCAAGTCCACCCTTCTCCATGGGTTTCAAGAAAGAGAGCCAAGCCTTCAAGTAAATGGACTTGTTATCTTGAGTTTTCCCCACCAGAAATCTCTACAAATGGCATTGAATTTATCACAGAGGGAGGGAAGTGAGAGTGGTTTTAATGAGTAAAGTTTTTCCAGCATGAGATAGAACTCCTGTTTTATCCCTATTCCCTACAATTTGGATCGGGCCTTATCCATAATGAAACTCCATGAAGAATACCGATCAGAGGTGTTTAGCAGTGAGCTCTCCGAGTACTTATCTCCTTTCATTTCACAAACTCCCAGAATCTCCATTATCTCCTTTTTCTTGGCCTCCACAAGGACCATAACGTTGTGGCTGAAATAAATAGATGATTTACCAAAGTTAATAATTGCCCTGAGAAGTTGCCAAATTGTTGCAAAATAGATTTCAAAGTATGAACTTCAGTAAGATCAGCTTCCCCAAAGAGGAGTGATCATTGGCAAATAGGAGATGGTTCAGTCTTTCATAAGAGTTGTAGAACTTGAATCCTTTGAGATTACCCTCATTTAAGCCTCTAGAAAGCACTTCAAGATATATAATAAATAAATAAGGCAAGAGTGCACAGCCTTGTCTTAGCCCTATGTTAGGAGTTAGCTCTGCTGGGAGTGCCATTGATAAATAATTCCATCAAGTTTACAGCTATACAAGGATCTATGAGAGAGTAGAAATCCTCAGAGAAACCCAACAGTCATGTCACATACAGTGGAGAAGAAAAGGCCATTTAACATGATCATAGACCTTTTCTTGATCAATTTTCAGCATAAATAACCTTTACCATATTTGCATTTATTCATAGAGTGGACCACCTCCTTGTCTATGACAATATTGTCTATTATTTTATAGCCAAGAGTAAAAACATTCTGGTGAGGAGAAATAATCTTGTACAGTAACGGCTTCATCCTATAAGCAATTATCTTTGCCATAATTTTATGTCATATTTGAAAGACCAATTGGATGAAAGTCATGGGGTCTCTTGACCTTATCCTTCTTAGGAATGAGCATAATGAGGGTGTCATTAATTGAGGAGACAAGTTAAGGATCCATAAGTAAGATTTTAACAGACTGACAAATATCTTCACCAATTACTTCCCAATCATTTTGAAAGAACATAGCATAGAGACCATCCAACCTAGGGTCTTTTAGTGGAGCCATACTGAAAAGTGTTTTCTTTAGTTCAGTGTCTTCTAGGACAGCACAAAGAGAGAGTTGTGGAGATAAGGTTTAAGATATTGGTGTCAGTGGAAATGTTGGTCATCCAAATATAGGAAACATTTGGAAATGTTATTGAACTATTGTAAAAATAATAGACATAGTGAAAACATTGTGAAATATGCTGAAATATACATTGTTGTTTTGTGAAATGATAAAAAAACACAGGTATTTAGATTAGTCTTGTTACAAGCCATCACACAAAACCAAGAGACTTAGGTTAATAAACAAAATAATATGCTATGAATTTGCCCTGCTATTTTTTTTGGCAAATTTAAATTGAATTTGCCCTGTTTTGTAGGATTTAAGAGTTAAAACTACATAATAGATTAAGTTTAAGCAAAATTTAAATACAGAAAATGTGCAAATGATTCTTATAGTCAAATGATCAATCAAATAATCTATCAATGTCACTTCCAAAAATAATTTTGAGCAGTTTCAAAGTTGTTATCATCTCTATTAGGGAGCAATGATACTGCTGCTCTACATTTCTTCAATATTGTTGCCAACTCATCGTGTTATAATATCATCTAATATGCTCCACATAACACTGGTAGTTTTCATTGGGAAATATATTGATTTGAGTAATGTTTTGTTTTGGTACCCATGGAAATGGAAATATCTCATGGCAATATAAGGAAACATGTTAATAAACCATGATGGGAAATGTAACAATGAGTGATTATTTTAAAATCCAAATTTGTCTACTACCATCTTGTGGTTTCTATCATTTTATGTTCTGGAGGAGGTAATTTCAATGAGATGGACTTTTAGCCTCTCCAGGGCTTCTAAGTTTGAGAGATCCATCACGGATGGGTATGTTAGAATCTTGTCACCACTATGTTAGAATCTTGTAGGAGCTTGGCCTGATGGTAAAATCTTAGGCTGATAAGTGTGAGAACATGGGTTTGAATCTTAGAATGGCCAATGTGTTAAAAAATGTTGGAGGTTTAGGTCTGCATCCAGCCCAACCCTTTGAAGATTCTAGATAACCAGGACCAGTATTGGGTAATGACCTTCTAAAAGAGTGGTTGTGCAGGGCAACAATTGTTTTTGTGATCCCTATTTTCAATTTAAGTTTCACTGTGGCCAAATAGCTTTGTTGTTGTGTTTTCCCTGTTATTGTAGACTTTTCTTCTCACTTGCCCTTCCCATTTGCAAGAGATTTCTATCCTTTGTTTTCATTCCTTGTTCTTTTATAATTTCCTAATTTTTGTAAAAGATAATATAGTATTAAGATTGCTTTATAAACTTTAGAATCTTTATAGTTTGGAAAATTATAGTTAATAAAGTGAAATTTGACAATCTATTCTTACTGCAGTTACTTACATGATGTGATCTACATTACGAGCTTTGTGCAACTCATGTCCATCATCTCTGGAAAATTTTGGTACACATATTTAGTGGTAAGGTCCTTTGTAAATTATCTTTTTCTAGTGTGTATAGCTACAGGCATGCACATAATTGCTATGTTTAATCATATAAAGCAAGTTTCTTGGTTTAAACAGTTGAATAGGAAAGAGGCAGAAGTAGAAACAATAAATGAATTCATCACTTTTGATGTCAATATACTGCTAGAGGGTGGGCTTGGTACCATAGTTATCATGATGGTACCTGAGTGAGTGCCTACTGCCTAGGCCATGACTAGGCAATAAAGTGTTTCTTTTTTTGCATTGCCTTATGCTTCACATTAGTATTTCTATATCCAAGGTGTATTAGTAATTGTTACTTGCACATAAACCATGCCATATTATATAAGTAATGTTAAAAGTGTTTAAAAAGGCATTATAGTCAGATTATCTAAATAAGGATAAAGGGTCTAAAAAGGCATCAAAAAAGACAATTTCAATTCAGATAGACAAAATATGTTTAGAGCAAACCACAACAGCAATTGGGAAACTAATGTCTTCATTATATTAGGGCTTCAACTAGTGGCCCTTGTATTCTCTCAAGTGGTTTTTATACTTTTCTATCAATTTTTAGGAGCAAAATAGATAATGCTTTTTGTATGGCAGGTATGGGGCTTTGCTCCTTCATTTGTTTGTTTTATTTCTATGTAGCCAACTAATCACTCATCTCTGTCTTTCAAACATTGACTAGAAAGGTAGCAGACTCAATTTCTAGGAGGAAGCAAATCATCTTTCTCCATGGCACATCAAGGGCTTTGCCCCTTCATTTGTTCTTTGTTTTCTTTCTATGTAATAAACCAATCACTCCTCTCTGTTATTCTAACTTTAACCAGAGTACTTCTCTTTTCTTTGCACCTTATATACTCATACACATTATAACATTGACCAGAATAGGGGCTCTGCTCCTTTGCTTTTTTCTTCTTTTCTTCAACTAGCATTCTTATAGTTATATATTCTCCTCTATATTTCTTCTGCTTTCAGTATAACAAGGGCTTTATCCTCATGTTAGTTTGCTTTTGTTCCATTCTTGATTTGTGACCAATGTTTTAAAACATGGAGGCGTGACGAAAGGCGTTCCACTACCTTGAGGTGTGAGGCATGGTTCAGAACATAAGAGGTGCAAGCCTCCCGAACACAACGTGTAAGCCTACTTAAAAGGTGGGGGGGGGGGGAGATTAGGAGGAAGGATGAGGGAGAAGAGGAAAGAGGATCTCATTTTTCTTTATTTTTAATAAAAATCTTTTATATTAAGAAGAATGAAGATGCATAGCACTAGTTAAAAGGGGAGTCTTCTCGAAGTGAAGGCGAGCGAGCGAAGCGAACCCCCGGCCCACTTTCTTTCCCCTTATTTTCTTTCCTTTTCTTTCTTTTTCTACTTTTTTTCTTCTCTTTCTTTCTTTTTCTTTCCCTTCCCTTTCCTTTTTTTTTCTATCTTTTTACATAAGGTGTGCATGAGGTGCATGAGGCATACGCCTCTAGCATGCCTCAAGAAAAATGTGTATGAGGTGTATGCCGTTGCACCTGAGGCATACACCTCAAAGGTGTCAGCACCTCTGGCATATGCCTCAGGGCGTTTTAGGGGCGCCTCTCCTAGAGGCACACTTCCAGGCGTACGCTTCTCACGCCTTTTAAAACACTGTTTTATGACAGACAGAAACACATTCTATTTGTATTTACCTCTTGTATTCTCAGAGTACTCTATCCTGAAGGTATTTTCTCCATGGGTGATGTAATTTTGATTTTATTCGATTTGCAATGCATTCTTTTGTGTTGGATCACTTTTAATTTTGCTAGTTGCTGCTAAAACTAGAGGAAACAAGCTAATTAATAAAATCAATGGGAAAAACTAGATAAAATTAACCAGATTTTGCATTAAAAAGTAGACTAGTTAAAGCCTTGGTTTGGTACCTAGTTTCATAGGCAACAAGATGCTTTCCATTAGTGATGTAGGATGGGGTAAGGGTCCTGCTAATTTAAGATGTGATGGTGGGATTTGTGGGGTGAAAGAGGGGCTTTGAATGATCAAGGATGAAGAATAAGGGTAGAAAGCAGGTAGATAGCTTTCTGTCCACCAACGAATGAGCAAGAACTTAAAAAGTGAGAGGAGAGTTCCTGCTATTAGGGAAACAACAAAGAAAAATATTGTTTATTACATTGACTTTATTTAGACTAAACTTATGAGCCTTGTTGTCCCTTTAAAGAATCCAAATTGGGCTACAAAACTGATCCAAAAAACTAATAATTTCTTCACAAAAGCTACCTTAATAGAAATTACGAAAAATATAAACTGCAATTTACTAAAAATAGTGATCGTGAGAATTACTATAAATGGTAAGTTCGAAGATTAGCATTAATATTAATTTTGAAAGAACAGTAAATTTTTGGAGAACTCAATACCCCCTTCTTAAAACACCTATGACTAGGGAAAAAACTCAAACAATACCAATATCTGCCACCCAAAAACTCTACTCCATATTGTCACGGGGCTAGTCGTTGGGGCCCGTGCGGCACTCGATTGTGTCGATAAAGCCTACAAAACAAAGCAACAAGCAACAAAGGCAACAATGGTGGCACACAAATTAGTCAAAAGGTTCTTTGTATTGCATAAAATGGTGGCAAGCACAAGCACACAATTTAGTGTCGAGGGGACCTCATGCTTAACCTTTACACATTCTTAGTTCACTTACCTACCTCCCCTCAAAGAATAGCTTAAGCTTTTGGGGGAGTGACAGAAGGAAACATCAAAGTATTGAAAAATCATACTAGTAATTACAATAATGCCATTGGCATCCTTCCCATACAAAATATATGTATTGCCCCACCCAATACACACTTGATGATGCTCAGATGGCATGTCATGGGCACGGTGATGGCACTTGATGGTGTGGCGAAGAGTTTACTTGTGATAGGCTCCCCCACTCAATTCAGTCTTCGTCCTTGAAGACTAGCTTCTACTAGTTGCTTGGATTTGTTGCTAATGAAGGAGGATTCTTCGGCTGCTCCACGAACTTTGTTTCTACCAAGGCCTTGGTACAAGGTTGGGTGGAAGGCTTGAAGGTGCTCTTGATGGTGGGAGAACCTATGGCTAGTTCCTAAGTAAAGTCCCTTCCTAGCTACTAAAAGGTAAGATTTTGGGTGTTCTGATTTGGTGATTAGAGAAGTCAAGGCTAGGGTTGGGTCAAAATGATGGTTTGGATTCTTGGGGCATTGGTGCCCATGAATGCTTTCCCAAAGGGGTTTCCTCACAGGGCTACTAAAGGTGTTGGGTCGAGGCCAAGTTGGGTTGTGGTCCCTATTTCGGGTGGTTGGCACTCTCTCTCTCATGTTGGTTTGGTGGTAGATGGGTGTGTTATTGGAGGCAGCCTTGGGTCTTCTTGTTTTCTTCGTCGCCATGTAGTTGTTGCACTTACGCTGACATTAGAACGACTTTTGTGGAACCGCTTCTTGATGATGACTTCTTGGTCCATCCTTATGTTGGTGTGAGATGCTGGAGTGGGGGTCTTCTCTATTGCTAGTATGGCATTGATTCTGATGGTGTCTTCTTCCTGGTACAACTGTAGGGCTGAAACTTGCTTCCCATGTACCTTCACTATAGTTGTCACTGGGATCATGCAAGGCGAGCACTCGTCCAGGATGAGGAGGCTGTCAATGTGTGGCATCAGGGCTGCTTCTGCATGTGTTAGGAACTCCATCCTGAGGACAACTTGAAAATCATCCAGGGGTACCACAAATAAGTTGATGCTTCCCTTCTAGGGTCCTACTTGGAGCTCTACTCCACGAGCCACACCTACTACCTTGGCGCCACCCTGCCTGTTTGGATGTAGCCAAGTTGAGTCGCTTGGCCTCAATGAGTGAAATGAAGTTGCGTCACGCCCGTGTCTACTAGGGCTTGAGTCGGCCTCTCGCTGAGGATAATGTCAACATACTTGAGCCCTTGTGGGCCTTGTTGGATCGCTTAGATGTGGCCTCTTTCTTTACCATGGCATTGAGTAGTGTGAGGGCGCCAGAACAGGCTTGTCCTCATCGCTTTGTTCATCATCGCTGAGCTTGGCAATGAGGGCATTGAGTTTCTTCCTTGTGATGGTGTAGTCAGCCTCTTGTACTTGTAGGTGTTGTAGTCTCCTTGTGGCTTCTTCCCTTTCTGATACTCGGCTGGCTTGTTGTAGTGAGGCTGCTTCTCTCATGAGGGATTTGCTTGCTTGTCTCCCCCACTCAAGTCTGAGGCATGCGGGCTTGGAGGCTTGTCGTCGTCCGCTAGTCTCGTGTTAGTGAGTTGTTTAGCTGATGCAAGATGCCAAGATCTTGAACCGTCATTGAAGCTTTATTTCTGCCATGGTTGTAGACCGTCCATAAAGTTGAAGAGCAAGTCCTCTAACATGTCAGTGATCTCAAGCATGAGGGCTGAAAATTCCTTGACGTAGCCATGGATTGAATTCTTGTGTCGGAGTCCTTTTAGCTTACTACGGGCCAGGTATTCTAGTTCTCCATGTAAAATTGTCTCTTTAATTCTCTTTTGAATTCGGTCCATGTGCCAATGTTACACATGCCACGCTTTGTCTCCACATCTCTTGTGCCACCACAACATAGCAACATCAGCTAAATACATAGACGCAGTATGAATTTTGGTCCTTTCTTTGTTAAGGTTTGTCGTTGAGAAATATTGCTCCATCTGCCACAAGAAGTTATCAAGCTCACGCACATCGTGAGCACCTGAGTAGGGAGTTGGCTCCCGAATCTTGATAGGGGCAGGAGTGAATGTCATTGTGGTTTCGTGGAGCTTGCTGAATTCGCAACCACTCTTTTCAAGATGTTGCACTCCGCCCTCATCTCATCTAGTTGGGCCTGCATATCGGCTGAGGTGCACATGGCTGATTTCATTGCTTGCCATTCTTCTTTCATAGCATCAAGTTGGGCCTGAACCGCCAAGAATGTGGACATGGTCCTCTTCCATCTTGCCCATTCATCTTTCATATCTTCAAGTTGTGCTTGAAATTTGTCAAGCGAGTCTTGGACATTTGTTTGGGAGGAGCTTGCTTCTTGTTGACGTGAGGTGTTCAAGACCTCCTTGAGCGTTCCATTCATCATGTCACAAACTTTGTCCAGGGCACCATTCAAGCGCCCCTTAAACTCCACCACCGTGGATTTGACTGCTTCCATGGTGAGGTGAAGCTCCTCCACTCAATCATGTGTTTCACCCACTGTTACAACATAGCATGCGGATGTCGATGTTGGCAAGCCTATCTGTTAATTTCTCTCGCTTGCTAGATTTTGATGCTCGGCCCTTTGGGGCTTTGTCCCTGCCAAGGTCGTGGTCAGGTGCATCGTCGGCCTCATGGGTGTGGGAGAGTCCTTGTCGTATCTCTTCCTCAAGGTCTTGGATGTTCTTCATTGTTTTGCTACTGTCAAGGGTCAAATGTTTGGTGCGGCGTGTAGGTGAGCTCCTACTCCAATACCAACTGTTATGGGGCTAGTCATCGGGGCCCTATGAGGTGCTCAATTATGTCGAGAAAGCCTATGAAACAAAGCAACAAAGGCAACAATGATGGCACACAAATTAGTCAAAAGGTTCTTTGTATTGCATAAAATGGTGGCAAGCACAAGCACACAGTTTAGTTTAGTGTCGAGGGGACCTTGTGCTTAACCTTTACACATTCTTAGTTCACTCGACTACCTACCTCCCCTCAAAAAGTAGCTTAAGCTTTTGGGGGAGTGACAGAAGGAAACATCAAAGTATTGAAAAATCATACTAATAATTACAATAATGCCATCGACATTTCCCCCTATACAAAATACATGTATTGCCCCACCCAAGACACACTTGATGATGCTCAGATGGCATATCACGGGCACGGTGATGGAGATGGCACGATGAAGAGTTCACTTGTAACAATACGGCATAGTTGGCCTTAACAACTGTTTTGAAAAGTTTTCCTTTTAAGTGGTATTTTTTTTATCACATAAAACTGTAGATGTCCATTTTGCCCATCCTACCAAGGTATCAAAAAAAGTCACATTGAGTTATCTCTTGCCCATAAGCTTATTATTACATATCATATAGTTTCATTTTAGTCCTACTTATTTTAAAACCTCTTGTTTTCAAGGCATTTGTCCATAAGCTTAATTTTTCTATGTCATCAAGAAACAACATACACCAAGGGACCTTCTCTTAATCAATTTATCTATGATCAATGCAAATGAATTAGGGATAAGTGCCAAGTCTCAGTGAAGCCACAACCAAGAACTGGCAAAAAGTGACAAAACAAAGAAAATAAAGATATGCAATCACCTTCCTGCCCATTGCTCTTTTCCTTTTCTTTCATCGAGTCAATGTCATCCTTCTTCATATCTATTTCTTCTTTATCCTTCTCCCCCTCCTCTCTGTACTCTTCACTCCTCATATTTCCCCCCGGGAGAAACTCCCTCCCTCCCACAGAGTTTTGGACCTCCAGCCGGAAGTTCCCCATCCACAATGTTAACACAATTATTCAAGTCCATGCCTTCATGGGCTTAATCATAGCAGGAACAGGGTCTGGGCCATCTACAAGAGAGCTAACAGAGGAATCTGTAGAAAAACCAAAAACACAAGAGTTACAGGGGTTACCAACCACCATAGGAGGGAGAATATCGACAGCAACAAGAGTTTTAGCAACCAAACCACCTTGACTCAGACCTAGGTTGCAAGCATCAGGGTATTCTGTTTGAGGAAGACCCATGGAATCTGTAACCTGATCAGAATTTGGACCGACACCCCTTGGAGGTGTTTCCTTTGAAGCTTTACAGATCCCCTGCTCAGTTACCATTTGATTGTCCTGAATTTGTTGCTCACAAGAGAGGGATTTCCTAACTGAATGGGCACAGGAAGGACCTTGCTGTTCCTGGAGATGGTTTAAGGCATTCCGAAAGCCTGAAATTTGTCGGCACCCTTTATCCTCACAAATCTTCTGCAGAGGTTTGTTGAAGGAAGACCTCACCACATCCTTAGTTTCATTGACCTTGTCTCCGCAAACAAGGCTTCAATGCAATAATCCTCTTCATCATCCAAACAGATTTGTATTGTCCCATCCACACTTTCAATACTGCATTCTTCATCGGAGGTGTAATCTTCTTCGGAATCATTGCAATTAATCCATCGTCCATCATCAACCTCATCGCCCTGTACCTCTTTTGACCTCGCATACCTAGGATTAGGCTTATCCTTCTGAGAAGGGGAGCATCTTGCCCATTGTAATTTTGACATCCCCCTTTGACAACTACTGTCAGGGATCAATTGGGATGATGATACACCCAAGTTAGCATCCCCCATTGATCCACCACCTGATCTACGTGTGAAGTTTAAGTTGTCACGTGCATCCTTCTTGAATTCTCAAGTTTAAGTTGTCACGTGCATGCTTCTTGAAGCCCGGCCTGACCGCTTGGTTCAGCCCCGCTCTCTAGTTTTTCTTTCCCAAACTCTCTCTCGACAATTTGGTTTCCTTTGGGGGAAAACCATGTCTGACGCCCGAAACTTCCTGTCTTGTTGTGCCACATGGCCTCTGTCTTGCCACATGAGCATCTTCTTCTCTCCTTCCACACTCCCAGAGCATCAATTCAACTTCTGACACAACCCATACCTGTCTCCACCTTTCGTCAGAGAAAACTTCAAGCAGTCTTGGTATCTTCTCCGGCTCTTGTAGAGAACCTCCACACAGTGTTGCAATCTGGAAGAAAACCTCCTCTGCCCAAAGATTGAAAGGAAGTCCCATAATTTTCAGACTAATGGTATCACCGTCAACCTCCACCTCATTGCAGGAAGGGCACCAGTTCTCCATCACCGGTATCCTTTCTCTTGTGGTATTTCGAGTTAAATTCTCTACGTTATTTGCCAAATCCATGACTGCTGCCATGTCACCAAAGGGGCGAAGGACTGCCTTGTCCGTTGCCGGCAAAACTTCAACCATGTCCTGTAACACTACGTTCCAATCCAGCACTTTTTTAGTCAACTTGATCAAATTCCTTTTCCATTCCTCCAGGCTCCCTTTGGCCACCATCTTTTAGCAGATGGCATTTCTGCAAATACCTCCCACATCCAGTGGCTTCTTCTCAACACAGATGTTTCCAGAGGATTGTTCCAGATCTGGGGATTCCACTGGTTTATCCCTGCAGATGTGTTGTCCCTCCTTCAACCAAAGTCGTCGTTCATATTCATCCAGAGTCTCCGCCACCTTCAACCACCCCTGCTTTCCTTTCTCGGCAGAAAAAAAAAAAAAAAAACTGCTTCTTACCCAAACCAAAAAATTCAATCAGCTGAATAAACTCTCCTTTATCATTTTTCTTTTTTTTTTTCCAATAAAAACTTCTGCAAATTAAGTTCTCCCTTCCACCCTGTCTCTGTGATGGAAAACAGGTTACCATCAAGGAAACCTTTAAACCATCCTGCCGCCTCCCTGTTTTAGACCACTACAGCCCTTTGTCTTCTCTGATTTTGAATGTTGAACCTCTACCTATTTCTTCAAACAAGAAGCTTTTCTTCTCCACATCCAGGGTCTTCTTCCACCTATTCGCCAGAACAAACTTCTCCATCCTTTTCCTATGCAGTGTATTGAATGTTTTCTGTTACTTTGATCATTAAATTAATTATAAGAGAATATTTTATTATAAAATAAATTTGAGGGGAGAAAGGTGATGAGCAAAAAGAATGACCTCTGCAACAGAAAAAATTTCAAAGAAAATATGCTTGCATAATACAGTTCCATTCTCAAAGGGTTTACATTCTCTACCAGACCTATCTTTAGCAAGTGAATTTGCTTTGATGCTTTCCTACCAGCTAAACCTAGGCACCCACCTGAATGGGGTTTTCAATGAAGAAGCCAAAATTCAGACTTGTCTTTGTTCTTAGTATAGGTTTCCCTACCTTTCCCTACCTTTTCCTTCAAACCAAACACAGCCTTAAGGATGGAAAAGGTACAAAGATTCTTTTCATCTGTAACTATGCCCCTTCTGCCTGCATTCATGTTGCACCATAAGCCCTGCAAATTTCATCTTGCCAACTTAAGCTTGTGAAGTAGGTATTACTCGAAAACTGCATTGACTAGAGTAAGAAAATGGCACATGGTCTTCGGTGTATTTTTCCACAGTTTTGTAAGTGAAGGATCCTGTTGCCAAGGCCCAATAGAACAATCAGTGCAGTTGTAGTTTCATATCCCTATTACCTACCTTGTCAACCTTTAATTTCCTCATATTTTAAGACAGGATGGAATATATTTGTGATTAGGATTATTCTTTTGCATAATTGTTAGAACAGAAAATTCTTCTGGCAGGGCCTATGGAGTGGTTTGTTTCACCACACTTGGGCATGCATGTCATGTTAGTCAAATAATCAGTAATATTCATAGAGTTTTCTTAATGCATTTATCACTTGCATATGTTCCATATCCTCGTGACTTAAAAGCATGAAATACATATTCTCTGTAGTTTATGCAAGTTTCTGCCATCTGTATGATGCTTTCTCTCATGTTAAAGACCAAAGAAATAAAAAAAAAAAAAAAAGAAAAAATTAAAGCCATTAAAGTGGGCAGCGAAGCGGACTAAAATTGGGAGGTTTTGGGGGTCAAGCCTGACTTAACTATCTCGTCTTGATGTTTTCTTTAGATTTTGTTTTTTTAATCAGCTTGATGTTTTCGTAGATTCCGGCATTTGGTGCATATAAGCTTTTTGGTCTGACAAAGGGATTTTTATCTCATGGTTCAGAGGTATCCACCGTTATCCATACTCTTATTTGGAATCTATAGGATGTAATCATACACTAACTCATCTGTTTCCTTTCTCTTCATGCCTGTATAGGAAGCCGTGGAGGATGAAAAGGGTCGCAAAAAAAGGGAAAAGATGGAGAAGAAGGCTTCAAGAGGCAAATTTATCAAGACAAGAAATAAATAGAATTATTTATCAAACACAAACCTGGATAAACTGGAGTGCGGCACTGGTTCTCTATAATGGGTTCGGCTGCCTGATCAAGTATTGGAAAGTAAATGTTTACAATCACCATTATCATCTCGAAGGTCATTTCAGTTGATGGGGACAAATTTGTTGTTCTAATTTGTAAGATATATAGCATCCGAAGTTTTCAAAGCAGTTTATTTTAGCAGTTGGATAGTTTAATCATCTGGTTAGAGACTTTGGGTTCAAACTTCAAACCCAAGCAGTTATACAGAACTAACATCCTGTGTTTCTGTGTTGTATTGCATAGCTTGTTCATCTTGACAGATTTTTATTATTCAACATGATAGCATCTTTACCTACTATATTGTTTGGGTTGGTTACATTTTGTAACATTCATGTCATTCATGTAAATAAAATTGACCGGAAAAGGGCACGTCATACTAGGCGGGTGCTTAGTGGTTTAGATGGTTTAGCACCTATTTTATACCAGTCATTGGCACTCAGGCGATGCGCTCAATCAACATCATGGCCTTAGGTGACACCTTGACAACGATGGCTAGAACAATGAAAAGATGTTTCAGAATAACCACTTTGGTACCTTGGATCATTTATAATGAGGGAGAAATTAAGAAGATATTTGTTCATAGAAATGAAGGTGTTAAAGTGGAGAGATGCATCTAGTGTGCTGTTTGACCAGTATGTACCAATGAGACAGAAATTTCTATACCAGTATTGCTACATGGGTTAGAATGTTGGGCGATCAAGAAAGAATTTTGTTTAAAAATAATGAGGGTAAAAATGAAAGGATACAACTTTGGTTGACAGTTAGTATTGTAACTATAGTGTACATCCCATTTAATGATGGGTTAAATAAATATTGAAATAACAAAAGCCATAGAGGGTAAAAAGGTAAGGGGTGCAAATTGATTGGATCATCATCCGACCCGATTCAAAGTCTGATCCTATTTTATCAAATATCAGACATCTTTATCGAATTCGAATCTAAATCAATAATTGTGAGATCCAATCAGATCTTGAGATTGAATTGGATCGTACCTATAATTTATCAGATCAGATTCAGATAGATCTTAATTCAAATCTAATTTAATCTGTTTGCATCTTTATAAAAAGGGAAAGTGAAATCATGCTTTTTTATAAAACATTGTTACCATTCTCATTTTTATTATAGAGATATCAAATGTATAGAGAAATTAGGGTACAGTGGCTAAGGAAGGGCAATAATGAAAATATAAAATATTATATATAATATAAAATAATAATGACTAAAGAGGAGGAATAATAGAAATAAATATGCAACTGGAATAAATAATGACTAAAGAGGGTAATAATGACTAAAGAGAAATTAAACAGCTCAAACCAATAAAAGCCACCCGTCCAACTACACACTAATCTATGAGGAAACAAAAAACCAAGCTCCAGATCGATTCATCAGTCAAGAGTCCCTTTTTCTACCACATTACCAATCATTACATTTCATCCCTCTGTTTATTCTTAAAATTCCTCAACTTTGTCTATCACTCGGCTCTATTTTCTTTCTTAAAATTTTTCTGTTATCACTTGTTATTTTCTCTTATTTATTTATTTATTTTGTCTTGCCATGCGCACGGGTTCCATCCTCGTAACAAAAAAACAAGTATATGTTTAAAGTAGTTATATAGAGATCAGCTCCTAGAGTTTCTACTTCCTAATGCCGCCCCATTCGTTTTTACTTATCTGGGTACGTGAGTTTTTCTATGTAAAAGTTTTTCAGGTAAAACTTGTTCAAGTAAGATAGGTTCCAGTATTCTTCTGTGATAGTAGTGATACAGGTTATTCATGTAAAGGGAAAAGCGAGAGGGAGGGAGTGTTATCTTAGCATAGATAAGTTGTTTTTCCACCCTCTAGGAGGGTAACTGAAGCCAGCAAATGAACGTAGGAATCATAGTCAATTATGTGATTGACCAACTTACCCCCTCCCCGGCGCTAAATACCAACAAATGAACAGGGCCTAAATGACAGCTGAACTACAAAGATGGATCTGATACCATGTTAGTTCCAGGCATGAAAATGAGCGGAATCAATTGGTGGGATGTGCTCAGTAAGTCACATCCCAAACAAAAGGTATTATAGTGAATGGACAATTCTGTTCTTACAAGAACAAGTAAAATACGACAATGCACAATAGTATACAAGAATAAAAGAAAGATTAAATTACAATATTAACCCCATCTTCTCTACAAGAACAAGGAACGCAAAAAGGTTGATTGGTATAAATCTGTGGAATAGTTATGTTCCAATCAAAATCTTCATTTATGTGCTTGCGGAGAGCGTCCTAGCAAAATAGGTTTGGATTGGACTCAATTTAGTAGAGCACTATGCAGCATTTGTTTTGATACAAACTCAGTTGGGATCATTGCTAAGAAGATGGTTTTTTACTACTCTTCTAATAATAACAATCAATGGGGGCTATTGTTGGCTTCACAAGCAGTGCTATAGTGTAGGAAATCTGGAAAGAATAATGTAGACGAAATGGAGAGATTAGATCATAGGTGTTCGGATGAGTGGATTATTAGTAAATTTGAGAGTTGGCTCCATGAGGTTGACATCCCAAAGAAGTTTACCAAAACCTCAAGTTGAAGACAATCCCTCGCGTTGGAATGTGTTGGTATTAGGAGTAAGGACTTCAGCTTCATAGGATTGGAGTTGTGAATTGCATGACAGGTCTGGATGAATTTATTTTTTATAGGCGCAAGGGCTGAATAAATTGAGTCTTGTTAACAATTATCTGGACAGTTCATTAGTTCCATAATTTCATAAAAGGAGTAGCATTTCAGAAAGAACAAGAAGCTGTGATATATTAGAAATTTACAATTGCCTTTGCTATCACTAACAATAAATCTGATTTTAATTTAGAGAATTAAGGGCACAATTCTGTTCTCAAAGAATGTTTGAAGTAGGACAAATAAATCTTAACAACCAAAGGCTGACAAATAGAGGCGTGACTGAACAATGCATTTAGAAATTGGATTGGACCGCCCTCTCATCTTAAAATTATTAGATTTCCACAAGGGGTTCTCCTTATGAATATATGTAAGTAGAATTGAGATTTGGAGTTCAACAGTACTGTTGAATTCCCCTCTTCACATTTGAAAACACCGTCAATACCTGACCTCCCTGGATCACCAAGGTTGCAGCCTTTTTGTTTCTTTGCTAACTCCCCATCTCCTACTTTGGGGTGTCGATGGAAGGAATCATCCTACTGGTTCTCAAGTTTTTTAGTCTCTTATTTCGTAGCCTCATTGATAAGTAGGATGATTCCTTCCATTGCCATTCGATCTTTCAGGAGTAGAGCAGAGCTTAATTGGCATAGTTGATCCCACGTGTGCCTTACATCAATAGTCAGTAGCTTTCATGTATTGCAAGTGGTGGTCAAAGATTGGATCTTTGGGTCTTGCTGGCACCTTGGAGCTTTCTAGGTCTCTAGCAACCATGGTTTTCAAAACCTGACCAGACTGGACCGGAAAAACCAGGAACCGGTCACCTGACTGGTTCCGTTTTTCCCCAAAACTATTGATTTTGGTCAGCAAACCGCTGAACCGGCCAGTTTGATCGTTTTCCAATATTTTTATTTTTTTTTAAATTTTTTTATTTTTTGGTCAGAACAGGCTGGCCATTCGGGTCAAACAGTCAGACCATTCAAACCGGTAACCAGACCCCTGATCGGTTCGATCACCTGTTCGTTTTTAAAAACCATGTTAGCAACTATCACATTATAAAAATGTGTGGAGACTTGAGTATTTCCCTCCTCAATAAAGTAGGCTTTCGGCAATAGAATTGGCAGATAATGGAATCGATGTTAATGAGAGGTTTGGTCCAATTGTTCAGAAAAAACGAAACAAATATAGAGGTTCAGTCTAGAAACCAAAGACTAAGCTTCCCTAATAGGATAACTAAGTCCTTTTGACCTCTGGATGCCATCCTCATCAAGTCAATGGCAATCTGCAAATTTTACTTCAGATGGAATCCCCTAAGTTCCAGAGTGATAAACCAGGTGCCTGCAGGAGATTCTGTGGAGTGGTGTGCGTGGGAAGAAAAAAAACAGTCGTGTTTTTGAAAACAGATCCAGATCTTTAAATTTGCACTCTCGTATTTCTTTCTTGGGTAACTTGTGGGCAGTGAATTCTGTTGAGTTCCAAGGATTTTCTATGAATGGCTTACAAAGGAATTTGGTGGCGATCCTCTGTTCTTCACCTGGGCCTTTAAGCAGGGCTAGTGTCCCCTCTAGAAGACTTGAGATGGAGCTCAGATTAAAGTTTTGATGGAAGTGCCCTGGTAATCCCAAAGAAGCAGGGATTGGTGGGAGTGTTTAGGGGAAGAGATGGAAGGCTGTGCACAGGGGTAAGGCTGTGTACATCTGTCCCTCCCCAGACCCTGCACAGCGGAAGCCTCGTGCACTGGGCTGCCCTTACGGAAGCACTAAGTGGGCTTTCAGTGGTCCACTTGGTGTTGCTGATTCTACAAAAGCAGAGATCTTGGCTGTACTCAGGTCTTCGAATAGCAAAAGATGAAGCTGGTCTGCTCTAACCATTGCAAGTGATTCTGCAAATACTGTAAAATGGTTAGGGGAGAAGGATGGAGGCCCTTGGAGGCTAGCTCACTACCTGACAGAGGCCAGTGATACTATGGACTCCATGATTGTAAAGCTTACTTGGACCCTTAGAAGTTCTATAGATGATGGTTTAGCTAAATCAGGTATCTGTAGGGGTACTTTGTATAGTAATAGGAACCTGCCTATGTAACTTTTGAGTGTTGGTTTTTCCTTGCTGTTTGTACATCATCTCATGTACTCTTCAGTCACCTTTTTCTCAAAAAAGGTGCCTGCAGGAGAGAAAACAAATTTGCTTTTACCGAGTCCCCTGACTAATGGGTTTAGACTGTAATAATATCTGAATTCATCAAAAAAATATATGTAATAATATCTGCCTAACAAAAAGAAAAAAAAAAAAGAATATGTTAGAAAAACACTCTACTACTATAATGCAAATACTTCCCATAGAGGCAAAGACTGCAAACTTTACTTCATATTGAATCTCCTAACTACCGTACAGTGATAAACCAAGTGCCTGAAAGAGGAAATAGATCTGCTGCCAACATAATTATAACATAGCATTATTGTTTATACAGAACTCCTGAAATACTGAAAATTGTTATTGATGAAGCCAAGTTTCATCTTACATAATTGAAATAGGGGTCCATATTCTGGGCTTAATATATGACAGGACACGGGAGGAGGCGGGAATGTGCATACGTGAGGGGTGGAGGTGATTTCACTGGCGGTGGAAGTAATTTGTAATAGTAGGTTGGAGGAGATGGTGAAGAAAGAAGAGATGGAGAATTGTAGTAGTAGGTGGGAGAAGATGGTGATAGTGGGGGAGGTGATATGTAGTAGTATGGTGGAGGAGATGGTGAAGGTGGTCGAGGTGATTTCTAGTAGTAGGGAGGTAGAGGATATGGTGATGCTGGTGGTGGGAGGAGGAGGAGATGGTGAAGATGGTGGTGGTAATCTGTAATAGCACGGGGGTGGAGGAGATGTTGATGGTGGTAGTGGTGATTTGTAATAAATAGTATGGGAGAGAACAAGATGATGATGGTGCTGTGGAGAGGTTTAGTAGGAGGATGTGGAGAAGGTGATGGTGGTGGTGGTGATCTGTAATAGTATGGGGGTGGAGAAGAACATGATGGTGGTTGTGGTGATTTGTAATAGTATGAGGGTGGAAGAGATGGTGATGGTGATGGTGGTGGTGGAGATTTGCACTAGTAAGGAGGATGTGGAGAAGGTGATAGTGGTGGAGGGGAACTATAGTAGTAGGGACTAGGGAGGTGGTGGGGGAGATGATGGTGGAGAGGTGACGTAATAGACTAATAGTAGGGTGGTGGAGGTGGAGATTTGTAGTAGTATGGAGGGGGAGGAGGTGATTTATAGTAGTAGACTGGTGATGGTGGTGATCGAGACTTGTATTCATGTGGGTGAGGGTGGTGGTGGTGAATTGTAGTGGTAAATTGGAGGATTAAGAGACTTGTAGCAGTAAGTTGGTAGAGGTGGAGGTGGTGATTTATAGTAGTAGACTGGTGATGGTGGTGATCGAGACTTGTATTCATGTGGGTGAGGGTGGTGGTGGTGAATTGTAGTGGTAAATTGGAGGATTAAGAGACTTGTAGCAGTAAGTTGGTAGAGGTGGAGGTGGTGATTTATAGTAGTAGACCGGATGAAAAGGTGATTTGTAGTAATATGTTGGTGGTGGTAGAGGGGGGAGGGGAAGTTGTAGCAGTAAGTCATGGAGGAGGTGACTTGTAGTAAACTAGTAATAAATGTTAGGAGGAGAGGATTTTGTAATAAGGTGCTGGTAAAGGTGGGAGTGGAGGCTTGTAGTAATAGCTTGGCATAGGTGGTGGTGGTGACTTGTAGTACTAAACTAGCAGAGGTGGTGGCTTGTAATGGTAAGTTGGTGTTGGCAGGGGGAGACTTGTAATAGTAGGGAGTTGGTTTAGGCTTTGGATTTGGCGTGTGCTTGTGCTTCTCACAGTCCTTAGAAGGATACTTGGGTGCATAAGCAAAATACTCGGCCTTGAGGACAACCTTTTGGTATGTCCTAGATTTCAACTTGAGTTTAGCTCCCTTTTCACCATTTTGTGGGTTGGTGGGGATGTTGCAAAAAGAGTACTTGGGAGCCAAGTAAAGAGAAGCCTTGCATTCTTTGGCTCCATGCTTGACAAAATCATAATCCTTGAATAAGATGCTGTGTTTCTCCCGGACATTAGTCTTTTCATATTTAACAATATCTTTATCACCAGCTTTACATGTAATCTTCACAATTGGACCTGCTCCACATAATTAACTGATATCGAACATATTTGGTGTTCATCTTGTCAAATAACAATAAGTAACAACACTTCCAAAAATTGCTTTGAAAAATTTATAAAGAAGAAACTAAGAGAATAAAAATAAAAACTTTCAAATTGACAAGTAGGTTTTAGGGAAAACTTGTGCTCCCAAAAAGACATGATACTGGAAGAGCTTTATCCAATCGAAACCCGCCGTGAATTTTGATAAATGCCACCTGATTGGTTATCACTTATGTCTACCGGTTGATTGGTTACAACTTACAAGTATTTCCAGTATCACAGTTTTGATCCCTAGGTTTTATTTTCAGGCTGTGAAGAAATTTACTGTCCCACGACTCCTACTTTATATGTAATAGAAATCTTCCAAAGCTTTACCTTTGAGATGTTTCTTGACATGAGACTTCACTGGATATCCCCAAGTGTAGCATTTATAGCAATAGACATTTCCCACCACTTTAATGACAACTTGGTAGTGGTGTGGATAAGGGTGAGTCACTGATGGTGGTGATGTGCAAGATAATGAGACTGAGGTACAGAAGGAGGTGGTGGTGAAGATTTGTAATAATAGGTTGGCGGAGGATATTTAACCAGTGGTGGAGGAGATTTGTAAGGGTAGGTTGGTGAGGGTATTTAACCGGTGGTGATGGAGATTTGTAATAGTAGGTTGGTGGAGGATATTTAACTGGTAGTGGTGGAGATTTGTAGCAGTAAGGTGGTGGAGGTGATTTAATTGGTGGTGGGGGTGGGGGTGTTGGTGGCCTGTAGTAATAAGATGGTAGTGGAGGCAGATGTCGGGGTGGAGACTTGTGATAATACGAGGTAAAGAGGATGATGGTGGTGGTGACTTAATAGTAGTATGGAGGTGGTGGAGATGATGGAGGTGGTGGAGATGGTGGAGATGGGGATGGTGGTGGCAGTGGCAGTGACTTACACAAATAAGGAGGAGGAGATGAGGACAGAGGTGGCAAAGTCAGAGACTTATAGTAATATGGTGGCAGAGGAGATAGAGATGGAGGAGGTGGAGATTTATAGTAATAAGGTGGTGGAGGTGGTGACTTGTAATAGTAGGGTGGTGGAGGAGATGTTGATGGAGGTGGGGGAGACTTGTAGTAATCTGGTTATGGAGGAGGTGGAGATTTGTAATAATATGGTGCCAAAGGAGAAGGTGAAGGTGGAGGAGGCAATTTATAGTAGTAAGATTGAGGTGGAGATGGGGATGAAGATGGGGGAGACTTGTAGTAATATGGTAGAAGAGATGAAAGTGGGAGGAGGTGGAGGTTTGTAATAATAAGATGGTAGAAGAGAAGTGATGCAGATGCAGAAGCAAGGAAAGAATTCATGGGGAAACAAACCAATATTCTAATTCCTATACCAATTTCAGAATTTTTGGGTTATATATTGGTATCGTTTCAGTTCTTTTATTTATTTTCTAGTTGTTGGTATCTTAAAAACATGTTTCTGTCTTCTAGACTTTTATTTCAGAATTACTATTTACGGTAACTTTTGGACTTACTATTTATAGTAATTCTCATACCTGATTTTTAGAAAATTCACAAATTACATAGTAAATTCTGATGTCTTTAAATTTAAGTCGCTTTAGTTGGATTAGGGAAGTGTTATTAGTTGAAGTCCTTATTTAAGTATCCTAATGGGTTAGTTATGAATTTTTCTTAGGTCTAAAGCAATTAGTTGTGTTGGGTCAATTTCCTAGTCCAAATTGAGTCTATAAATAGAGGCATTGTAATTGGAGTTCAAAGAAGTGATTTGATGAAATAAAGATTGGTTTAGTGAATTCTGGTTGTTGTCAGATGTTTTTCTCCTTTTTTTCTCCCCTCTCTTATTTCTTCTTTTAAGCGATCTATCTCTTTGCTGTTTATCCTAACAGAAAGCATTCTACTTGCTTTCCCATCCATATTCATCCCTAATCAACCACAGCCCCTTCATTCACCCCCACAGAGCCCATCATTAGATCAAAAGTTGGTAGGAACACTTCCCATCCTACATCAAGAAGGCAAAGGTGCAGGAGGTGGCTTGTAATAATAAGGTGGTGGTGGTGATGGAGAAGGCAGTGGAGGAGACTGAGACATAAGATGGTTGTGGTAGTGGAGATGTTTGGCTTAATTGACCAGACACTGATCCTATGATGATGGATGCAATGAATATGACCAAAGCCACTACAATTTGATTCCAAATACAACCCTTCCAGGGGCCGCCACCAAGAGATCTCATTGGAGCTGGACACCAGATCCAGCAAATGCTGCGGACATTATGGTTTCCTAGCAAGAGTTGGATAAAGTTTGCAGAGATGGGAGTATTGGCTGTGGTTATGGTGCAATCTAGGCCTTCATGAGCAAGTATTTATAAGTGATTATTAACAAGGAACCATCTCAACTGGTGAGTCACAACTGGTGCTTTTATTTCATGCATGTTGCTATTCTTTTAATTTAACTTTTTACTGTATTGGGTCCTCCAAACAGCTGAATTATATATTTATTTCTTTTATACAATGAAACTTATTGTTCATCTATAGAATTGCTTGGCTCTCCTCTATGGTTGTGCTCAAATGAGTCCGTATATACCCTATATAGTGTTAATTTGAGCAGAGCTTCCAGCTGGTCAAAGGGAATAATCTAAAGAATGGAACTTTGAATCCACTGCATTATGTTTATTTAGTCAACTCAATTAGGACTTAATTTGAAGCATTGAACACTAAAAAATTGAAATGACTATACAGTGAAGAAAAATAACATTTGGAATTAATTTATAATGTCCTGCTCCCAATATATATACAAGCTTGTTTTGGATGATATCCATATTGTCAATACTTCGAAATTATCTGGTTCTTTCTAGGAAGATCATCTTAATGCTTAAAAATGTGCATGACGCCCTTCTAGGTGTTTTCCAAGGCAAATACTTACCAAGTCTCCTGCATGTTAGCATCTTTATGTCACTCTTTCTTTCCCCTCCAATACATTCCCTTTTATTGTCTTGTCTTCTATTCTAATCTTCATCTTTGGTATCAGAATTAGAATAAAAAAAATGTAAAGAAAAACAGTGCCAGCAGGAAACAAAGGTAGAACACAGTGACAAGCATTCCTCTTGTCAGAGGTATTATATGGATGCACGGGTGACGAGGCCAGCCTATTGACACCCCGGTATCCCCATCTGGCCACATGTGAGGTATGACACAACTGATGACCCATATGATTATCTGAGAGGCAACCCACGGGCACAATACTAGATTATCTTTGTTTGCCACCTGCCAGGTGGTAATGGAGACCAACTTTCCACGGAAGTGCATGAGTCAGGCTGAACCAGTCAGCAGGTCACCATTTGAAACATGCCCTTTTCAGCTGGAACTTAGCTTTTGATCATCCTGTCAGTAAAGAATTCAAAACCAAATACCTTTTTTTTGTTAAGCCTTCAAAACCAATTATGAGCATGGACAAAGCCAATACTGTAGGGTCTTTTCATGTGGGTATAATAGAATGAGCTCATTAATTCAGTTGTTATTTGTTAATATTTTGACTTTCTTGTATTTGTTGGATAAAAAAAAGACTTTCTCTTATTTGTGTTTCCTAGTGATTTAAAAGGCATGCCTAGGCACTTAGGCGAGGTGCATGTTAGGCCCCGTTCGTTTACCGGTAAATAAGCTTGGGAAAGTTGGTCAATGGGTATCCTTTTCCCATTGACCAACTTTGCAATGTTCTTTTTACATTTACTAATAGGCCCCTTGGTAAAATATGCTCCACTTCCCCTGGTAAAACTTACCCACCTCCTAGGTGGGTAAGGAACTTTCCCACCTGAGGGGAAATTTTATAAAGCATAATGGGACAATTTTGCCCATTTTTATATTAGCTTTTTATGGGTACAAATGTCATTCTATTACTTACCTAGGAATCCTAGAAATCAAAAGAACATGGATAAGTGCACTTACCCAGGTAAATGTTACCCAAGAAACATTTACCTAGGTAAGTGCGCTTATCCGGGTAAGTTACAAAGATGCAAACAAACGAGGCCTTAAGGTATGCGCTTCGCCTAGGCCCCAGGTACAACACTTTCGAAAGGCACGTGCCTAGGCCCCTATTTTTTAATGTTGTTTATTCATTCATCCTAATAGAAGATATTTTTAGAAGATAATTAAAATTATAAAATCATTTTTTTCTAGGGATTAAGAATTTAAGACCCTAACACGGACTTGTTTGGGCTTGCTTCAAGGGGTTTGGTACAAAGACGGCTCGTCAAATTAGGAATGAAAGATGTTTAACATCAAATTATTTTTTATTTTTTGAAATGATGCAATTGGTAAAGAAATTAAAAGCTTGAATTTGTTTTGTATGTTATTTTTTATTATATTTTTGCATTTTTCACTTTGAGCATGTTTTATATGTATGTATTTTAATTTTTTTTAATGGGATTTTTAAAATATTTAGTTTAAAATTAAAGTTTAAATTTCTTAATTAAAATTATTTTTAATATTTTCTTAATTTATTTTGAATTTTACATTTTTCCATTTTTTAAAACTTTTTTTTAATTTTGCACCTTGCTTCAAAAGGGCACACACTCGCCTTGCACCTTAGGCCCAAAATGGCCATTGCACTTTCAAAACACTAGTGTTTCCTCCCCCAGCTCTGAGATTCTTTTTTCCTCATACTTTATTTGAACTTGCTAGTATATAGTGTCTTCAATAGCTGGTGATCCATGAATAATGCCTCTAGCTACCTTAGCGAGTTGGTTTGGAAAGGCTTTTTTTGTGGAGGGAAGGCAGTTGGTTTTACGGGTTTAGGTTTACATTACGATCCCTTTGTCCCACATTGGTAGTATGAGATGCTAATGTGTGAAATATATGTGCTTGGGTTCCCTTCTTCTAATAGCTAGCTTTTAGGGGCGAGTTCTCCTAAGTCACGTATCAAATGGTATCAGAGCCTACACTATGCCTCCCAGTTGCAATCGTGCGGCACAGGTGGTGATGTTGGTATTGTAGTGTTCGGCCGGGACTAGGTGCACTAGTGCAAAGCCACTCGTCGTGGGTGCCGGGACTGCATAGCATGGTGGAACGTTACAATCCTTTTGTCCCACATTGGTAGTATGGGATGCTAATTTGTGATATATATGTGCTTGGGTTCCCTCCCTCTAATAGCTAGCTTTTAGGGGCGAGCTCTCCTAAGTCACGTATAAGTTTATAAATCCCAAGCCAGTTTTAAATTCTTGCATGTTTAGAGTTTTAAGACATTTCCAACCCAAAAAGGATAATTCAATGCAAGGCAACTAGTTATACATTGACGCAACAACCTGCCCAGTTTCCTCATCAGCTTGTTACAACACCATTTTTTATAGTTTGAGGCTGAATTAGGATTGGGAACTTCTCTGATCCAACCTGTCCTCATTGACATCCCCCAAGCAAATTATAACTTATAAGCCTTTGTTTCACATGTCTTGTTACTGACTCGAATTTTTTGTGGTTTGTGCTGGAATGCTGCCACATTCTAGTGAGCCAAGGAAAAAGAATTATGAGATTTCTTCTCACATGTCTTGTTAAAGATTCAAATTCTTTGACCCGCATTGCTGCTGGAATCCAGTGGGCCAATAGCTATTTTGTAATAAACTGACATCAACCTCCCAGAATTAGTAAAGAATTCAAAGAATTATAAGCTATGTAATGTTGTCTTAGCTCTGCTTTTAATGTTTGATTTTTTTATTTTTTGAAATCACTTTTAATGTTTTCTATTTGCTACACTGACTAGGGAAACAAGCTAAAATCAACCAAATCTTTTATATAAAAAACCATTGCTTATGCCCATAGTTTTCAAGGCACCAAGGCGAGGCTAGGCAACCAAAGGGTGCCTTGTCGCCTAGCCACCTAGGCGATGGATTTTTTTAAGTGAAAAATACATATCCTAGGTAGTTCCCTAGGTTCTAGAAAATCAACATATTTATGAGAAGAAAAATAAGAAAGAAAAGAAAATTCAATAAATATGGGGATTGAACCCCTATTTTTGTTATAGGAAAAGAAGAAAAGAAAAGGTGGAAGAAGAAGAAGAAGAAATGTGGAGGAAGAAGAAGATGTGGAGGAAGAAATGTGTTGATTAGACAAAACTTTTAAGTTTTTCCCTTACTTATTGGTTCAAATTTTGAAGTCTTTGAGGATTCAATACAGCAGTTAGCAATGTTTGTGTTGATTAAACCCTAACAAATAAGAAAATAATAAAAAGAAATTAGTTTATAAACACAAAAAATGAATACTTTTGTTTAATAATGTCTATTTTATAATTATAATCTCAAAAAGTAGCAATATAAAAGTATTTTATAAGATAGTATACAAAACTGCTAGGCGATTGGGTGAAGTGAGCCTCCAAGGGCGCCTTGTCGGCGATGGCAATTTTCCCCATTTCCCCGATCCCCGTGGGGATCCGCCCCGAATGGGGCAAGGATGGGGATGATTTTCCCCCCGCGGAGACGGGGATGAGGAAATTTTCATCCCTATTAGCGGGAACAGGGCGGGGACGGGGAGTGCCGCGGGGATGGGGAAATTTTCATCCCCGTTAGCGGGAACGGGGCGGGGACGGGGAGAGCACTCCCCACCCCGCGGGGACCCCAATCCCCGCTTCGTGGGATCCCCACTAATATATATGTATATATGTATGCATACGTTATATATGTAAATATGTAAACATATATCTATATATTAAGAGATTTTTAAAAATATGGTTGAACATGTTTGAATATTTTCTAATACGATTGTAAATGTTCATTATTTTATTTTTATTTTTATTTTTTTAAATAAAATAAAAAACAAAAATAAAATGGTTAGCATTATAAAGAATCACAGGGAATGGGGATCCCTGCAGGGATAGGGATCCCCGTGGGGATGGGGATAACCTTGTCCCCGTTAGCGAGGACGGGGACGGAGATGGGGATTTTCGCGGGGACAGGGATGGGGAGAGGCTTCCCATCCCCGCCCCACCCCGTTGCCATTCCTACTTGTAGCCTAGGCAACTAGGTGCTCAAATGTAGTGCAACCTCAATTTAGTGCCTTGACAATTGTGCTAGGGAGAATCCCAATAATATTGCCCCTGTAGATCTGTATGATTAACTTGTTCCATGTGAGGATGGCAATTTTCCCCATCCCCGATTAAATATATATATATATATATATGTGTGTGTGTGTGTGTGTGTGTGTGTTAAATATTATTTATATATGATATTATTTATATTTTTATATTATTTGTATATATCAAAACATATTTAAAACATTATTTATATTTTAAAATTTTTATTTATTTTAAGTAAATTTATTTTTCAATAAATACTATTAACTAAAAACATTTCGAGGATTCGGGTCCCCACAGGGAGCCTGTCCCCGTTAGGAATCGAGGATGGAGAACAACTTTTATCCCTGGTGGGGATTAGAGTCGGAGACGGGGATTAATTTCAGAGTCAGGGTCGCTGATGGGGAAGATCCCCGCTCCGAACCCACCCTGTTGCCAATCCTAGTTCCATGTTCAAGCCTAAATTTACTAGCAATTCTTCATTGGATTGGTCAAACCACTCTTTTTTTGTATAGATGGAATAGAGCAATACATGTAGATCTACACTACAACTCTACGTAAGCAAGCTCTCTAAGAACATGCAATAAGTTTCTAGATTTTGATTTACAATCAACTTAAGAGTTCTAGGAAAGGTCACTTTTAAACACTGCAAAGGAAGAAGTGGCATTGAGAATGTGGTTAATGTAGAAGGGAAGGCATAATTATGCAACAGAAACCAATCTATGTCATTACTGCTCCAAGTTAGATGTTGCATTATTTGGAGATATTTGTTTAGAAGTCAATAATAAAATTTTGATAATGTAGGAGGTTGAAGGATGCACTGGAGTCACTCAGCAATTTCAACATAAGTGTGTCGTCAAACTAAAGTATGTACAGTTAGTGCTGAAGGCTTCATTCTATTAGTCAAAATGGAAAAGGGTTATTGCCAAGTTCTACCAAAAATGGCACCTGCCAGTAGTACATTACACTGTGTTTGATGATTTGATCAAAATGAAAAGAAAACAAAAATTGTATGTACAATATACTTGTATAGCATATTTGTAAATCCCCTCTCTGAAGGTGCCTCTCCCTCTTTTATAGTAAATTAATACAATATACTTCTTGCTGCCTTTCAAAAAAATGAAAAGAAAAAAAAATGTACATATCTGTAATCTGCATCTATCACAAATTTAGTTCTATGCTGCAAATCATTGGTACCTCATAAACAACCAGTTGGGAATACCATCTATGCATTTTTAAAACCTCCCTTTGATGGGGAAATATTTAATGCCCATGTTTTTAAACCTTCAACAAGTTTCCACAACAAATAAGTGAAAAATTAATGAAACTAAAAATATGTTTGTGCCCAGAAGATAACAAAGAACAATAAACATAGGAGTGCAGATAGATAAATAAAGTGTAACCTAACCACCTTAACTTGCAGTTTAAGAACTAAAAGCTTTCTACCCTATCTAACAATCTTGCAGCTTTACGGAAAGAAAGAATTAAGAAACTCTTTTATTGTTAAACAAACTGAACAAGGAAAATATAGAAAAAGAGAAATAGAGCCATAGTTAGGGGAAGGGGAATTTTATTTATCTAAAAAGAACAGACAGATTGATATTTCCAATGCAATTGTCAATTCTTTTCCTTGTTTTGGTTTTCCTTGCATATTGAGATGGCAAATAGGCCATCCATCAGATATCTCAAACAAGTATTAATATCCTAAGCCAACCCCTGTAAGACCGAAGTCAATTTTGTCCTGTCAACAAAACAAACATATAAAATGCACAAATTACACAAGTGCACAACTACATGGTTAAAACAAGGATAGCAATTTATCTTATTGTTAGGTATATCCCTTGTTGATTCTCTTTATAGGATATTACAATATCGAAAAGGAGCATAACTCAAATTCCTTGTCATTTTAGAGAAACAGGCAAACACCTCTATTTCATTTCCAAATTCAAATTTCCCCTCCACTTAAGAGGAAGCAGTTCAAAACAGGCACATCAATTGTTACTCTCACATGCATCTTAATTATGAGCATACTTTAACTAAATTCTTGAGTAACAATTTTCCAAATCCAATGTTGGGGAAAATCTAATGTAAGCACAACTATTTTAAAGGTAAGAAGTAAGCAAATTTCAAGAAAATAACAGATCAGTGATGAAAAGAAATATTTAGTGGCTTACCAGTGATAATATTTCATAGGCAATTAGCTAGAAGGAACCTCTGCTTAATCATTCTGTTCGTCATCAGCCCAAGTTGAAGACAAAGGACAAGTCAAGCCTGCCATCAAATCAATATTGAAATTCAAAGAAGATTCTGAGTTAATACTTAGCTCTCATAAAATTTCTTCTCGAGAAATAGAAACAGATAGAAGAGAAGTAAATGAAGCAGAGAAAGAATATTCTTTGGAGTAATTTACAATAGGGCTCATGTGAGTCTTGTTCTAACTCTCATTTCAGTTTTAAGTTTCTTTACTGAGGCAACATAACAAGTTTGCACAACAAGTTTGGAAGATCAAATACTCACCCACTAAGAGTATGTATCCCATTAATTTCAGAATTCCAAAGACAAGTATAATTAGAACAAAACCATGGTGCCCCTTTGAGCTGAATATATCCATGAATAAATCCATTTTTAGTCCTTCACTGTATTCGACCCTGGGACATTATGGCCTCAAAAGCCTCAAGTTCATATGCAGAATAAGGTGGTGTTCTTTTCCGAACCAACTCCATGATAACCTCAGCATTCCTGTACTGTCCATTCTTCTGAAGGCCTTCAAGTAGCTTAACGATGGTATCAAAACTAGGAAACCAATTCCTGCCCATGCTGACCTTACACATTCCGAAGGCAGTATTTAACTCCCCTGCCTTACAGAGATAATGAATCATGGTTTGGTTTATTCTACAATTGGCTTTGTAACCTTTACCATGTAATGCAGAATAAACCTTTTTCGCCATTCCAAGAAAACCAGCCTGGCAAAAGCCCTTAATAACCAAATTGAACGTCACTGCATCTGGGTTTATCCCAAGATTCCACATCATACTCATTAAAGCATTAGCTTTCCAAGCTAGTCTCTTGTTAACCAAGTGCTGAATCCTAACATTAAAGGTAGCAAGATTCGGGAAACACCCCTTAAGCACCATTAGATTCCACAACCCATTGGCAATCTCAGGACGATCATTCTTATAAAACGCAGAAATGAGTGTGGTAAATGTAACTACATCGGGCCTTATTCCCACTTTTTCCATCTCTACCATGGTCAAATAAGCGATATCAAGGATACCCATTTCACAGAAAGCCTTGATAACAATATTAAGAGAAAACGCGTCTGGAGAAATGTCAAATTTCCAAGGAACCTCGTCAAGGAACAATTGAATGGCTTCTAAATCACGGGTTTGCGTCAAAACCTTGAGTGCAGCGTTGAAGGACTTAACAGTCCTGCGGCACCCAAAGAGGTGCATATCGTAGAATGTCTGGAGGGCGTGTTTAGTCATCCCAGCTTTGCCATATAGCATTATAATGCGGACAATGAAGCCTTCCCGACGCCCTTGAGGAAGAGTCTTATGGTGTTCGAGGAGTTCCTCAATATAGTCAAATCGTCGAGCACCAGCTAAACGGGAGACGGTATCCTCGAAAGCAAAGCGATTCTCGATAACAAGTCGATTGTGGGCATTGACCTTGAATAAGTGGAAGAGCTTATCTGGGTCCCTCTCGGCCTTGAGCTTCACCAATGCAGGTTCGTCTAATGGTTTCGGTTTTGGAACGCGGGTTGGAGCAGTTGTTCTTGAAGAAGCGGCGGCGGCGGCAGTGGTAGCGGAGCAGAATCTGCGAACTGGACGCAGAGAGAGCATGTTATGGTTTTTCCCTCAGAGCGTATCATTACTCCTCATTAGAAGAGCATCCTACATAGCAAGATAACTTTACAATACTCATCCCCCTACCGATCTTTTCTTTCTCAGATGAAGAAAAAAAAACGCTATGTGGGCGTGCAACTGCTCGGTTGATCGATCAAAGAAGAACAGAGTAAGGAATGATAAATTGATGCTTTCAGATTTCGTTGGCTCTGTGGCTTCAGTAAGTCAGTAAGCAAACGAATGTAGTGAGAGGGGATTTGATCTGAAACAGACTAATCGCGGGCAGGCAAAGGTGCCCACTGCCCAGTGCCATAAGGAACAGGTAGGTCATGGATCCGAGGTATTGATAAAGGGGTAATTTACAAAATACCCCCCGGTAGGGTGTGACACAACNCCCCCCCCTATGTTGGAGTGTTTGGAATATCACTTAGATGGTATTATTGTGATAGGATCAACTGTTTTGCCAAGCAAAGAAAATATCCTAGTTTACGCTTTCTCAATGGAAACCTTAAACTATTGACAATGAATTTTAATTTATTTTGAGATTAATTTGTAAAATGGATTTATATTTATAATAAGTTATTTTATAAAAAAAGGTTTACAAAATTTTTTAATATCAAACCCTAGTTCGACCAAGCCCGTGAAAGATACCTTTCTCTCTTACTTCCCTTATGTTTTTGTAACAATGCCCAGAAATTTTAAGTTGTTAATAGCTGCACATAAAATCAGAAAAGTTGCAAGGTTAAGCTCTCCGTCATTAATACGCCATCTTCAACTAAGAGCTTGATTTGAGCTTGAATCTTGGGTGTTAACAACCACTTTGGGATAGGGCTGTTCATAAGAATGCCCAATCCGACCAAACTGACCAATTCGGACCGATCCAACTTGAGTCGGCCGGGTTTTCATCCGTACCGGTCGGTTTTGGGTTGGGCACATACATAAATCAAAATCTCGGGTCGGTTTTGATTTTCTTGCGTAAAAACCGAAACTAACCCGACCCGAACCGAACTAGTATTCTACTAGTTTGGTAGTTCTTACTTCCTAGTTTGAGTACTTTCCTAATTCCTAATAGTCTTCTACTTTTATACTTCTACTAGAACTAGAACTCTAGAAGGCCCACTAGGCAATTACAATTAGAATTCAATTAGGTGTTTTTTTTTAGTTTTTTATCTAGATTAGAATTTAGAAGATTTCTAAATTTTTATTTTATTGATTTACCTACCCAGATTTACCTAGTTTTTTACTCTAGAAGGCCCATTATTGACACTTGTTTTTACATGAAGAATTTATTGATTTTATTCTTTACCCGAATTAAATTTAGATTTATCTTGGACTCTTGAATATCAAATTATCAACTAATTCAGATTTTATTTGGCTTTGTACAGGAGCAAAACCGAAACCGACCCAAACCGACCCAACCCGACTCAAACCGACCAGGTCGGTTTGGCCTGTCAGTGGGTCGGTTTCGGTTCCCACCTTAGCTAACCCAACCAGGTTGGGTCGGTTGAGAAAATCCCAAAAAACCGACCCAACCCGACCCGTAAACACCCCTACTTTGGGAGATGCAATTTGTGGTCTCCATATCAAATATGAACCTATTTGAATTTGAAAATCAAATTGAATCATCTAAGGCTAGACCGGTTCTAGGAGAAATTGTTTTGTCCAATGAGAATTTCAATTCTCATGGACTTGGGTTGTTAAAAGAATTGAATTCCATCCTAGAAACCCTAGCAAAGTTCGACCTTTTTAGGTGATTTATAGTCCTTCCAACATTTCTTAAAATGACCCTCTCAATCAGTGGACACCTACAAGTTTGACCAAAAATTTACAAATGGCTAGAATGCAACATTATGATTTTTTTTTGTTATATAATACCTCAATTGTTGTTTATCCAAAAACATTCTAGAGATTTTGTTTGCTATTTAAATAAAGTTATTGATTTTCAACTTCAAGTATAAACCATTTGAATTCTATATTTTCCTTGTTCCATGAAATATAAGTTTTTTTTTTTTTTTGCAACTCCATGTATCAACCATTTGTTTCCCTACTTTGAAATTGAAGTTGGACTTCTTTTTTATGATGGAAGGTCTTCTAAAGGTGGATCACGGCAAGTTTCTTTTAAATTTGGACAATATAAGTTTGAGGAATCTCTTATCCTTGTACTTTGTTTCCAAACAATGTTATTCTGCTAGTATTTAAATGAGGGATCCATCTATTTTATTTTGCTCATGATTGTTCTAAAAGAGAGATAGCCTTCTATCAATTAAGATATACTCCTGTTGTGTTTACCTATGTTTCTTTCTTTAATGATATTTTACTTTAGGTTGTGTTTGGTAGAGGTGCAAATTCAAATTTATACGGATGGAAATTTTGTTCCCGGTTTAGTGATCGATGGAAAATTGAATTGGGGTATTTTAGAAATTTTCTTTCATGTTGTTTGGTTGTTACGATGTAAAAGTGAAACTTTGAAACTCTACTCTACTCTACTATGAATCTTGTCATGGGTCCCATCCCTGTTCTGCTCTACGAGGAAGAAAGAGAGGGGTGGAGGGAAGGGAAATACACAGAGAAGCTAGAATCATGGATGAGGATTCAGAAGCGGCAGTGTATTGGGCTCCTTGCCTCCATTTTTGCTGGTCTTTGCTCGAGATGTGAGAGGGGTGGAGCACAGGTGAAACCAGCATGGTCTTGGTGGGGATAATCTAGAAGGTTTGTGCAGGATCTACACCTCGGGCCGGTGAATCTACTACACTGGAGTGGGATGGAGAAGTCATGGTTGAGACTGGACTCAAGGAGGCCGTGTCCGTTGGCTTGTGGGTGCCCTATGTCGTCCTTGTTGTTGGAGCAGAGTAGAGCAAAGATAGCGACAGAGAGGAAGAAAGAGACAGAGAGGAAGAAGAAGAGAGTGAGAGTGCTCATTTGTTTTCCTGGGACAAGTGCTTGAAAGTATGGCGGGTGTCGAATCTCCGTTGCTTGGAGTCTACGAAAGCACACGAAGATGCCATAAACGTTGTTGCTGTTGTTTCTGTCAACGGAACCATTTACACGATTAGAGCGGACAGACACAGGGTATGGGGAAGAACGTCAGGAGAGAGACGGAGAAGAGCGAGAGCGAGAGAGAGCGAGAGCAAGAGAGAGAGAGAGAGAGAGAGAGAGAAGGAGAAGAAGAAGAGAGAGAGAACGAGCGAGCGATGTAATATATACAACAAAAATTTTGATGTAATTATTACATTGATAATCGATATAATTTAATAGTACAATGTAAAATTGCATGTTTACCAAATTCCTGCAAAATCGAACCGTGGTGCAAAGTTTACCCCAGTTCAATTTTACACCTCTACCAAACGCAGCCTTAAAATCCTGTTGCTACAATCTTCAATTTTCGTTTTTTTTTTTTAATCTTTCCAAGTAGTTAGTTTAGGGTTTTTAAATTTGTTGTAAATCCAGGTTTGGGATTTTTTGGGAGTTAAGTTTGGAATTCGATTTGGGTCCGAAGTTATATTACTTTGGATTGGCATTCAGCATACAAATTCCTCATCCAACTGAATTCGGTTGAACTATTGAGATCTTTAGCAAGCTTAATTCAATTAGAAACCAATAAAAGAAAATATTTATTAATTAACTATTTATTTCTAAACCATAGATGTATAAAAGATGTTGAAACACTTCCTCTATCTTAAAAAGTTTGATAGGACAAACTACTTAAGTGAGAATTAAGAACAATACAAAAAGAGGTAAAGTTGCTTATTTATGAATGCCATCACTCATCAGCTCTAATATGAAAAATCAAGTTTTAATGCTGATTCAATTAAAGAGTTTTAATTGGATCTTGGATCCTATGTTAAATCCAGGCCAGCCCAAGTTGCACTCCCATGAATGCCACATGTGTTTTTTTAGTAACCTTTGTGCTATTTCATTTTATTTTCAAGTTAACATATTCAAGTATGTTATCGTCTTCACAGTGAAGTGAAGTGACCAAATCCAAGCTGAAGTTTTGATATTCAATTATTCAAGAGTGGTGGTCTAGGTATAGTAGATTATCATCACTCTGTCTTGTGTTTTTCCAACACCCATTTATTGGCTGCTACTAAAGTGTTAGTTTTGCATTAACAAATTTATCTTTTTACCAAACAGAATTTTAGTTGTAATTGATGTAAACATGAATTCCAATAAAGCATATGCTTTTTTTCTTAAAAGCCCACTTGAATGCAAATTTACTTTTTTTTTATTGATATACCTTTACATCTTATTATCAATGTAAATATGCATTGATCTGTCATTTGTCAATGCAAAAAAGTAATATTGCCAAACACAGGTAAAAGTGAACCGGAGTGCAAATTTACCCTAAATCGGGATTTACACTCCATTTGCATCTTTTCCAAATGCAGCATTAGGAACTTTATACTTACCTTTTGACAAAATGAATTGATAAACAAAAATCATGTATTGATTACGAAAAGTAAATACATATTTATAGATACAAAGGTCCTATATTGTTACATCAGCTTAATTCAGTTGCAAATATCTTGATTTTCTTTATTTGTGGGACCTTGTAGAATTCTTGCATAGCTCTAATACTCCCCCTAGCTAAAGTTAGAGCATGGATAATGCCCAACTTGCCTAGTAAAAGAATGAATTGGTCAATACCTAAAAGCCTTTGTCAAGATGCCAGCTGGTTGGCCTATGGAGGAGAGATGACAAAGTTGAATGTCTTTGTGTTGAACATGTTTACAAACAAAGTGATAGTCGATATCAATATGCTTTGTATGCTCATGGAAGACCAAATTAGTGACTATATGGATTACCGCTTGGCCGTCACAAAAGAGCTATATAGGTTGTGATAGAGGTAGTTGATGATCATTGAAGACACACCAAAGCCAAAGAGCTTCACTTGTGGCCACAACCATGGCCTGATATTCAGCTTCAACTAAGGAGCGCGACACAACCATTTATTTCTTTGTCTTCCAAAATAAAGGAGAATTTCCAAGCATTATGATATAGCCGGTCATAATTCACTGTATGCATAGACAAGAAGCCCAAATAGAATCATAGCATACTTGAAGTTAAAGATCATTATGGCTATGAAAATATATACCCTGCCCTAGTCTTGAGATATCGAAGTAAACATTGCGTTGCAGCCATGTGTTCTTTTGCAGGTGAGCTGAGAAATTGCATTAACACATGAACTGATAACTTAGCTTGAGACTACTAATGGTGAGGTATACTAGGCATCCAACTAGATGTCGTTACCGATCAGTTGAGTTGTTAAGAAGTGAACTCTCTCTAGGTCATCAAAATGACATTATTGTTCCATAGGATGAGA